ATTGTGAATTTAGGTTTAGTCATTGAAAAGTTATTGAATTTTGTTTGAATTACGCAAGAACTTTCTAGCCAACCTAATATTAGAGTTGTGAAAAACGCATTTCTTGAGTATTTGGAGAACAAGTTTAGAAACGGTGCCGCCAGCAGCTGATCAAAAGTTGCAATATCGAATACCGCAGGAGGCTCTAGCTGAAAGCGGGAGTCGCGCCGGTAAGCAGGGTCAAGCGTGGGGTAAGGCACGCCACACCTGGGGGGTCGTATTGAGGAGTCAAAAGGGGAGGGGGTCGTAGTCGGGTAATCTGATAATAGTGATAACATGAACATGAACATAATCGTATCATATCCATAATTAGCATGTCAATTAACCCCCGTAGACAAAGTTTGAGCGAATTCGGAACATTCAAGATACTAGACTACCAGTGGTACCGAGGGGAGCGCCTCCCCCCCCCATGGGTCGCGAAATTTTTGAAAGTTACTTACATGAGTTATAAAAATGTGTAAGTGACTTGTTTGTTTTTGTAAACGATTAAAATAATTTTTTAAATTTTTTAAAAATTCAAATTAGCCTTATAAAAAGTTTTTTTTCGGGGGCGTGGCTGACCGCCACGCCCCCTTTTTCCAGATTTTACGGGTTCGGGGCCCGCAAAAATTTTGAGGAGCCCCCCTAAAATTTTCTCGGAGTGCGTGGCTAACGCCACTCGCACCTTCACTTGAAAAAAATTTTTGCCGCGCACCCCCCCCCCCCTCCCCCCGAGCCGAAATCCTGGATACGCCACTGTAGACTACCTAAGTGAAATGGTAATATTCCAACATGGACGTTCGACTTTCAGTGAATCTTGGCATTACGATATGTTTGTTTCGAGATGTTAAGCCTCCACCAAGATTTTTATAACTTTTATTTCGGCTGACGTTTCGGCCAACTCGCCTTCGTCGGAGCCTGTAAGTTAGGAACAAATGAGATTTATCCTCCCAAACGTCTCATTAAATGCAAGGAACAGACAAAAGTTGGCTGGAAACGGAAACGATGCTGCCTAGGATTAACAGCCCCACCCGAGACTTTGCCGAGTGCGGGTTACGGACCACCACTGACGAACGTATGAATGATTAGTGAGCTAGGTTCCCGGGTTGATGCGGTTGTGGGTCAAACCCGCATAACTCCAAGAAGGGCGCGAGTTCGTTAGTTATTGCAGTGCATTCATCTTTCCTGTTCATCTGAGGATTTATGGACAAAATCCAACAGGCTTCTAGCGTCTTGCGCCCCGCGACCTCTGCTTCTCGCGACAGACTTGACACTGTAATATCAAATTCTGTACCATTATGCTGCAGCATCCGATGAGTGCCTAGTGGTGTAGATACTTTTGACTTACGCATCCCATCCATGTGCTCCTTTATCCTAGTGCACAGTGGCCTCCCCGTTTCTCCAATGTACTCGTGCCCGCACAATTTACAGGTTATGAGGTAGATAACGCCTGAGCGCATACAGTCTCCGCAGGAGCCAGTCCCTTCAGTAGACTCCGCTTTCCGAGTATTCGCAACTTCAATTTTCACGGTGCTCAAGCGATTTATGCGTATGCGCCATCTAATTTAACACCAGCACAAAGGAGGGGCTTAAAGGAACTCCGGGAACTTACAGCCGCGAACATCAAAATAGCAGTAAGCGATAAGGGTGGCGAATTTGTGGTTATGCCAAAACAACTGGAGATTGCGATTACCGAACAACACCTTCAAGACGAAAAAACGTATTACAAATCTTCAGAAAAAGAATTTGTTAAACAATATCGCAAGCTGAATAGGATATGGGTGGAAACGGCGCGTATGGCGGACCTGCCTAAACATCTCGTAACACGCCTCAAATGCGATCTACCAGTGTGCCCTGTCCTTTACGTTCTTATCAAAACACATAAGTTACCTCTCGACTTGCGGGGTTCCGAAAATCCTATGGACTACAAGGTTAGACCCATTATAAGCAGTGTCGGCGGTCCTACGGACAGGATTTCGTGGCTACTCAATTCGATTCTAATTCAATTGCTGCAGTACGTCCCCGCGCATCTATCAAGTACAAACGCCCTTCTAGACCGCTTGCGGAATACACAGTTCAAAGACGGCAAGGTCATAGAATCCTTTGATGTGACCTCCCTTTACACAAATGTGCCAAATTTTGCTGCGTTGCAAGCTGTATTTGAGTTGCTGAGCGAACACACCAACAACATCAGCTTATATGGTCTTACAGTCCAGCAGATCATGACGTTACTAAAGGGATGCCTAGACTGCTCTATATTCCGCTGGTCGGGGCAGTATTTCCGTCAGGTAAGGGGTTTTGCTATGGGACAGCGTTTGGCGCCTGTGTTAGCAGTGACTTTTATGTCTAAAGTAGAAAACCCCGTCCTATGCCGCAATCCTATTCTTTACTTACGGTACATCGATGATTGCCTCATCGTATGTCCGACGCAGGCAGAGATGGATACCTGCTTTGATCTGCTCAATAGGCAATCAGCTGACATAAAATTCACTTGGGAAAAACCAAAAGAAAACTGGCTTCCTTTCCTTAACGTTCAATTATGCTTAAGCAGAGGAGAATGCAAGACCAAGTGGTATAGGAAGCCAAGCAGCAAAAACATTCTTGTGCACTATTCTTCCGCGCACCCTATCCGCAGTAAGCATAGCGTTATTAGGAACATGTTGCGTGCAGCTAGAACAGTGTCGTCTGACGATACCCTCAAAGCCGCATCAGTCCAAAAAGCTCTTCAAATAGCGCAAGCTAACGGATATCCATATACCAGAGGTGCTATGGTACGTCACAGCGGTAGACTGCACAACGAAGCCCAAGATAACAAGGTGCTATTCTGTATCCCATTCATTTGGGTGGGGGAACGAAAGCCGCCGGGTCCAGCCGCCTTTCGCGGCCAGCTGGTCCTTTCGCAACGTTGTTGCATGTCGTTCCAGGACCGGCAGTCCGCGGAGGCGGCTGGACCTGGCGGCTTTCGTTCCCCCACCCCATTCATTTCGGACGCTTTGAGTAGTGCAATAAGAGCGTGCGTGCGAAAAGCAGGTGCAGGAGTCATTGCGAGTTGTAGAATTGCCACCCCCAAACTTAAAACAGCGCTTGGTACGCAATAGAGCATACGATACGGCCTGCGTAACACCAGACTGCATAATTTGCAAAACGAGCAGGCCGGGAGACTGTATGCGCTCAGGCGTTATCTACCTCATAACCTGTAAATTGTGCGGGCACGAGTACATTGGAGAAACGGGGAGGCCACTGTGCACTAGGATAAAGGAGCACATGGATGGGATGCGTAAGTCAAAAGTATCTACACCACTAGGCACTCATCGGATGCTGCAGCATAATGGTACAGAATTTGATATTACAGTGTCAAGTCTGTCGCGAGAAGCAGAGGTCGCGGGGCGCAAGACGCTAGAAGCCTGTTGGATTTTGTCTATAAATCCTCAGATGAACAGCAAAGATGAATGCACTGCAATAACTAACGAACTCGCGCCCTTCTTGGAGTTATGCGGGTTTGACCCACAACCGCATCAACCCGGGAACCTAGCTCACTAATCATTCATACGTTCGTCAGTGGTGGTCCGTAACCCGCACTCGGCAAAGTCTCGGGTGGGGCTGTTAATCCTAGGCAGCATCGTTTCCGTTTCCAGCCAACTTTTGTCTGTTCCTTGCATTTAATGAGACGTTTGGGAGGATAAATCTCATTTGTTCCTCACTTACAGGCTCTGACGAAGGCGAGTTGGCGAAATGTCAGCCGAAATAAAAGTTATAACAATCTTGGTAGAGGCTTAACATTTCGAAACAAAGTTAATCATGTTGGAAAATGACTATTTCACTTAGGCAGCCTAGTATCTTGAATCTTCAGAATTCGCTCAAACTTTGTCTACAGGGGTTAAATGACATGTTCATTATGGATATGTTGCCCATTATGTTTGAAGGGCCTTTAGGTAATGCTATCTTAGGTATATGATTCAGGTTCAGGGGGGGGATCTTATTGAGACAGCAATCAGGGAAGGGGGGCAGGGCCCGGCGGGGATGGCGCTTTCACAAGCTGGATATCGTTTTTGGCCCGAAAAAGCAAAGGCGCTAGCCTGCCTGCAGGCGGGAATTCAAATCGCAATTCTTGTAAGAGGAAAATAACCTCGTTTTCAATGCACAAGTAACGATATGGCACCGAATTTGCTGTGTAGTTGGAGGACCATGAGCACAAAAAAGTATGAAGAATTATGAGAAACTTATGTGAATTTGAAAAATGGTAAGTGTTTTTCGAAATTAGGTGGCTCCCGCGCCACCTGGGAGCCACCTGGGGTGGCTCCCTGCTTCCCTTCACATAATTTCCCGGATTTCTTTACATAAATGTGGACTGGGTCGGGAATATTACTATATGTTCAAATCCGCTTCCAAAACCACCAAGGCACCGCTTCGATACAGCCCCAAACAGGGTCACAGCGTTATGATCGGCCTCGGAAAGCGCGCTCCAATCGCAATCGGTTATTGTAAACTGTAAAGTTTCGCAGCTGACTAATAAATGAGTAGTATCTTAGATATATAAACGTCAAAGTTTGTGCAAATCTTGACCCTATGTTTTTTTATAGATTCCTTTGCGGATGAACCCATTGAGCTGAAACCTTGATGACCCGGGCTCGACGAGCAAAGCCAGGTAGTACTACTATAATAAGCGCTGAGGCCGCCCATCTTATTATTTGTGTATATCTGTTTGTCAGGGACTTAAGGGGGTCAAAAATAGGGTTAAAGGAGAAGTCGTAAGAAATTTTGGCTTCAAAGGGGATATCGTTTTCAAAATCCTGAAATGCCACCCCCTGCCGGGCCCTGGGGGGGGGGGGGGTCGTAACCAGCGAAGCAATCGGTTTTCACCGGCGGGACTTGACCGCGAATGTCTGAGTGCATTTAAATTCTGAAGCAACTGCATCGTTTGGTTACTCCATAAAAGAAGCAGCTGCTCTTTACAATGGGACGTGTTAACGACATCAACATGCCCTCAAACATTTATTCTTAATGTACAAGAGCTACTTATTTTCTCTCGTCCATATTTTGCAATTTATGCGGGAAATTGAAGTCTTCACCACTGACTTCCTTGAATAAGAGCCGCGTCACGAAAACCTGGAATACTTGCTTTTCTAACTTAGGATTTGAATTTATCATGCTTCTCACCGCTAGTGCAACGATTAAAGCGTCGAGGCTGCTCATTCGACATCACCGTTCCTGAAGTTATAGCTTTAATTCACAAATTAGAAAAAATTCTAGACCGCCTACTTCCACGCCAGGTTGACTCCTTGTCGTAGCGAAGACTGCGATCTGCAGGTGTCCAGTTGTACAGAACTTCTGAACAGCTTTTGTAACTGTTTTTAGCCTGCTCAAAAACTGTACCAGCCCTATGCGATGCAATCGTTTGTGGGGTAGTTCGCGGTCGAGACATAAATCCTTCTTCGTTCTGCTGAGGCATGGAGTCTTGATGATGATTGGGAACTTCCTCTTCTGATGTCGGATTTGCCTGCGACTGACTGCGATTTGAAGCCGCTGGAGGGCGATTTTCCGTTTCTGTTGGGTGCTCCATCATTTCCTGAAAATGCAGATGACAGAGGTTGAAATGGGTGGAGATGACTGTGCATTCCTTACCATATGACGTTCCACTGACTGCACATCGCAGATCTGTCCCGGTAACTCGTCCGGATCGCTCTCGCAATCGCTAAGCTGCAAGCTGAGCACTTCCCTTTCTCCACAGCCTTTCTCCCGAGCCTGCAATAAGCGGCATAAGATTGGGGCAAGAGGGGGGGGGGGGGTCCCCGCGCCTTGCGAATGTAGATGTAATGGTCGCTTTTCTTCTCAACTCGAGCTCTGGCTGCCCAGCCTTCACGGTCGATTTCGGCTAACTGAAAAATTAGGTAATTTGTGAACTTCAAGCAAACGCCCACCTTATCCCAGAATGGAATGCTTTTGTTAACAACTTCAGAGAACGATGACAACACTCTGCCATGATGCTTTTCAAGACATGGACGCATTGTCTCGGCGAACATCGACACACCGCCCGAAATGAACATACGACGAATCTGTTGATTCTGTAATGACTTTCCCATAGAGCCATAGGTGGGTGAGAAAGACATCGATGTAACCTTGCCCACGTCCTTCCACTGGCTCCGACCCACTGCCGTAGTGCGATCCACTTCTGCTGGCAGCGGAATCACTTTGAACGCCCGTCCTTTCCGCTTTCCACGTCCTTCCATATACCGTGGGTCCTTCGAATTCGGCGGCTGGATCCAGTTGATCGAACATGGCATCGTTGACCAAGTCTGGAGGTAGACACTTCAGCAGAAGCCAGTCAGAGAGTTTGAAGTCCGCATACCATAGGTGCTTATGTGTTGAGATGAAGTTCACTGCTACATCAGCTCGCTTTTATACTCGCCACGTTTCGTGATAAGCTGGGATAGGAGTAAACAAGATTTCGAGAGTTTGGAGTATGGTTCACTCCATAGTGATCAAGAGTTGTCAAGGAAGACTTTTTCAAACAAGAAATGGAACTATATCACTAATATTAAATAGTAAAGTTTTCTCAAATCCTGTATCCTTTTGCATCCATCAGCAATTTTTCCTTGCCCGCTCAGATATCTTGAGTTCAAGAAAAATAGTCTATTTTTTGTAACCAACAAAAGCTTAGATACAAACGATTTGAACATTAAAATTGATCGGAATCAAAATTAGTTTGGCGTAAATGTTCGTATACGGCTTTTTTTGCCAATCGAGTTTGCCGATTTTCTCCTCTTTCTAAGAGCAATATTTTCAATGTAAACTCTAAAAGTCCCAGATCCAACCCTTCATTTTATGAACGTAGTCCGGACGAATTTCATTAATTTTTTTCAAAACGTTTATATAGTATTTGATAGCTAACAAACAGCAAACCTTTTGCAATACAGCGCTGTTTTCATAACTCAATTCGCTCTTCAGGAGTTTTAAAATTACTTCTTTGGATTAGCTCCGAAAGTCAACTAGTAAAAAAACCCAAGTATCACGCGATACAATTCAAATACATTTCCCATTTATCTCATATCTACAAGTTCTAAAATTGTATTCAAAATTATCTCAAACTGAGCGCTATGTACAGAAGAGAAATTCAAAATTTTGAAGATTTTTCAACATTTGCTTCAAAAGTATTTGTGTATTTGCTTCAAGACTCAAGGTTTGAAAAGAAGTAAGTTGAAATTATGAAAGCCACCTGAGGTGCGAAAAAGGTTTCGCTTAAAATTTTTGCTCTGCCTGCCGCTTATCGAAACTTTTCAGAAAATCTATAAGTAAAAAATCGTGAAATCAGCCAAAGCTAGACAAGATGAATTAATGTATTGGAAAATCGAAACATCTGATGTGAGTTCCGTCGAAAAAGTACTTCCAAGGAGCAAAAAGAACAAATTTTGCTTGATGCCTAAAATGTCTTCCAACTTCTTTCACTTGGGGATTGACCCTGTAAATATTCCAGGATATTTACCCATATAATACATATTTGCCTATTATTTATAACGATTTTGCACTCCTACTTCTTAACAAAAACCTCTTTACTAAATCAATTAATTCCTTAATTATCCGCCACTCTTTTCTACAGGTTTTATTTTATGTCAAAATCGATATTCGATCATTTGATCGCCAACTTATAGATTGCTCCGATAAAAAAAATTCCCAGAATATTTGCCAATCAATCAACGCTGTTCGCAGGTCTTTTCGCACACCATCTGCTCTAGGTGCATCTTTTCTATCCATGAGGTCAGGCACAGGTCATTATCGTTAATGCCCGTCTATCGCCGTTTTCTAGACAATTGCGCTACAGAGAGACATTTGCGGCCATCTGTTCCATAAAACGGGTTTCTTCAACCGGTTCGTTATGTAGGAAAGAGTTCGGAATCTGGGCATAGCATAGGCTTAATCTTGATCACATTGGTTCTGCGGCAATACTCTTTTTTCAAGCAAAAACTAACCAAGCGCACCTATAGGAAGCGCGTTACAGTAAGCGACTAGTTCCTGCTTTCAGACGCCCCCTAACCGCTCAAAATAATTCTTTTTTCTCCGGCGAACCTCCCAGGGGCCCGAAAAAGTCATATCAGCCCCACGCTACGCTCTATGCCCATAATTCTATCTCTCTCCGAGAGTGTGTGTGTATGCTCGTCGTTTGTTCGTTCACAGATCACTCCTACTGCTGCCTCTCCACCCTGCATCGATTCGGCCTCATTTGTGAGGCAGGCGGCACACACTCTCGATCCGCTTCCTTTCCTACAAGTTTTACTTCTTAGCGATTTGATGTCTTGGAGATAAGGTGTAGCAGTTTATAGAGCTCGAGAAAATAATAATTTCCGTAAAATTCCAAAAATTCCTCAAAAATTGCGTGTCTTGCAAGGTCACGCCTACATGACACCTCCATTGGTAAACAAAGGGAAAAAGCGCGCTGAAGCTGGATACGCTTCGCTTTTTTGTGCTTTTTTGTTCTTCTCACATTTCCATACAATTTTTAACTCTGTTCTCAAAAAGTTTTGCCCCTTTTTTTCAAAAAGTTTTGCCCCTCTACTGCCGTCCGTGCAAAGAATTATCTTGACTAAAGATCACTCCGCTGCCACTAGGAGTCTCTTCGCCGTTGAGCCATTGGGCGCTGAGCCAACACATTTTTTCCGAATATTCTCGAGACCCGCATAAACATTGGGCGGAGCTAATGAGATTTTTGTTTTTTTCTCTTCTGACTCTCCTAGGTCGCCATCTCTTCGCGCTTCGCATAGCACAGCTCATTCGCATTGCATGTAGACCGTTCGATCCTTATGTGATACCAGCACGTCTTGTGTCTCACCCAAAGTTTCTAATTTTCTTTCTTCCATCCTCATGTCTGCGTTTTTTTTTTCCTTAGCACCTCAGAACTATCTCCCTTTCACTTCGCTCCTTTCAGATCAGATAAAAAAACATGGCAGGAAAGACAAAGAAAGTTGCCGGACGTGGTCGAGGCCGACCTTCAAAAGCGTCCAAGGACGAAGACGTAAATGGAGAGGATAAGACGTTAGCAAAGGTATCTATCTACTCCTTTCAGACAAAAAAGTGAGAGTAACTAGGAGATTTCTGAAAGAAGAAAACTGGAAGGGGCGACAGGGGGGGGGGGGGAGGGTAAAATATTAGGTCTCTAAAAATCTTATTTCGAGACAGTGAACAGTTTTAAAACGTCATGTATTAGGCAATTCATTTTTCTCGTAAGTGAGACAGAATCTCTGACATTTACTTAATGAGTGCATAATAGTCGTACTGTTTGAATGACTCTGGGGAAAACGTTTATCTCATTCTCAACCATCTACCATATTTAAAATTTTTCCATGAGGTAAAAGAAAAGGTGGGGGGGGGGGTCGCTTGCACAAAACTATAATGTTAGAAAAATTCAACCTTTACAACGCTAGAATTTATGCTCTAAATGTAAAAAATTTCAGCCCACAAAAACCATCGAGAAAGCCAGCACTGGCAGAAAACGTGGCCGTCCACCAGGTAGCGGCAAGAAGAAGGCCGGTGCCAAGAAAACTAAAGCAACGTACGTTGAAAACATGACTTCTACATTTTTGGAGGGTAAATTTGCTTATTTCAGACCTAAGAAGAAGAGAGAAACAAGCGACGAAGAGGAGAGCGGAATGGAGGTGATTATTAGATTTTTTCTAAAGGAAAAAAATGCAAAGCCTCTCAAATGATGTACAATTTCCCAAAATGTCAAGTTTCGAAACGCATACCGTAACTAAACCATATAATTTCCCGGAGCTTTCTCCTTGGAGAGATATAAGCTTCCTTCCCCTCCCCATTCTCCGATTGCTAATACTGCCGAGTCAGAAGTTGACCTAATTCTTTTTGATAATACAGGCACTAATTACATATGCGTCAATAGTTCTCATTCTCGTTCGAAGCGACCGCCTCGCCAGAATTGTGCGCAGCGTTTGCGGAGCGTCCTGGGCGTTCAAATCGGCCTGATCGATCGCAGATTGCCGCGCAATGCTCTTGCTTTGGCGACGCGTAAATTTAAGGAAGAAAGGATTTCTCAGTTACCACTCACTGTATACCTACCCACTTTGCCCATTAGCACAAGAAATCAGATACCATCCATCCTGAGACTAAATTACTCAGGAACGCTGTTGCACAAGTTGGTCAACAAGCATGAACATGTTTTTTGAGCTGATTTCAGTAGTAAATCATAAAACCACAAGTGTTGGCTTGTTAATGCAAGTTCTCGAGTTTTTTAATCACAAAATGATGATACTATGGCTAACAATCTCGCAGCCATCTCTTCTAGACTAATTTTAACTCCTATAATTTCAGTCTCACGACGAACCTACAGCTGCCGAAATGAATGGCGAGGAACAAGCCGAAGAATAAAGAGCGTGTATCCGAGCGAGAATCGTCGATTCGTTAATTGCGTTGTAAACTGCATCCTCTAGTAGGCATTGATCCCCATCGTTGACAACATCCTCCTCCACTGTTATGTGTGTGCGTGTACGTTTAGTAACTGTCTTTTACTCTTCCTCAATGTCGATTCACTCATTTACTTCCTCGATAATTGATCTCTTATCCTTGTAATGTTGTTTATCTTCAAGCGCAAACAATAAACAATCTCAACATGTGCAGTGTAAAACTATCAAACTAAAACTCAACAAGTAAAATAAAAAAAGTAAATTATGAAATCTATAAAGTTAAACTCTCCAATGCTTCAGTGCACCTACAACAATGTTTCTCCGTTTTCTTCCTATTCATTTTTCGACATCTATCGCAAAACAAGCCTTCGCTCTTGATCGGTGTGATGCGATCCTGTTCTGCGTCACGGATTTTGACCATAGATACGCCGAAAACTTCGCACAACTGCGAGTTGAAGGATGTTTCGGTGTCTTGCCATGGAGCTAATAGGGATTTGGTAGCCTGCGATAGTTCCAGAAGAGCACCCTAAACAAAATTTCTTTTAATTAAATAGTTTGGCAAAAAATGTAGAGATGTCAAATTTGGTGAGTCAGAAGGCTTGATACATACCTCGCTGCTAGATATGGACAAAACCAACGAGCAGCGGAGGCAGCGCTGCTTCGGCTGATCAGCGCTGCAGTCGGCTGCTTTTTGAGTGCAAAAACTATCCAAAATATCGTCAAGGTTTATTGTGCAAAAACTAGAAAATCAGATTCTGAATTCGATCTGGAGTCATGTTCCACTTTCTAAGAAGTTCTTCGTTTTCCATTTTTCATTACAAATTTATAATGGAAAGGTAGCCTCATACGTGCAAATTTAAGAGAAGCAATAGGTACACTGATTGCATTTGACCCTTATCAATGGCTCTCCCAGCAATTATGAGAGTGTCCCTCAAGCAATGACATGATCGGAGTCCACTGGTAACGAAATTTTATCTGACCACCAGTGACCGTCAGTTTCTTAAATTACTGCCAATCTGTAGTTGATTTAATTACTTCACATCTCTTCAACTTCATGGAGTATGTCTCTCCAGTTCACATCTCATTATTTTCCCATTTCCGCCTCTAAAGTCCTAATTTGATGGTCTTGGGTTGGACTCATGACTTGCTTATGCAAGAAAAACGGACTCTGTTTCTAAAGCGCTAGTTGCAGCTTGAAAACCGATAAAACTAAGTAGATTCAAACAAAAGCAGCTGTTTGCAGCTCAAAGCAGCTGAGATAAGCTCAGAAAAAGTGAGCGTAACTCAGCTGCAAAATCTAGTGCAGCGCTGATCAGCACGAGCAGCGCTGCTCAAATCGCTAGGTTTGGACATGACCTTTTGCGTTAGCTGCTGCAGCGTGAGGCAGCAGCGTCACTCCGCTGCAATCGATAGGTATTAAATGCGTTGCTGCCACAGCTACGTATGGACACCCAACGCCAGGTATGTATCAAGCCTAAGAGTGTGCAGTAATTCAAAGTCACCTACACAGCTCTACATTTCTGAAGAAAATTTATTTTTAGTGTGAATTTCGGTTTTTTTCCGAAATAAAAACGAATAATTGGATTTGCCCTTAAATGCACCGAAAGTTTTTCTCTGGGAAATTTTGTTGCATATCGCGGCGATGCAAGATGACAAGGAAAACATTCAAATCGCATTTTAATAAATTCTAAATATTGAGAGGCCCAATGGGACGTGGATCTAACATTCTTTGGTTTCGTATTTTTCAATGGAAAAATTTTGGACTTTCTAATTTCTGCTTCAAAGACGATTTGAAAGACGAAGTAGATCCAGCAATTGTATAATATAACAGGAAAAACGTACACTGATGAGCTCTCCTAAACAATTTTGTACGATTATTTCAAAATATTTTCTGCGAAATTTACGTGAGAATCTGTAAGCGAATAAGAAAACCTGTAAAGTGTTTTTGTGTCCTACAAAATTACATCTAAAACCTCACGAAAAATACAAAATCTCATAAGACATCTTGTTGCCTCTGTAGCAGGCCATTTCTCAGGTGAACCCATTTTTGTCAGTTTACCATCAGAAATATCAGTCTCGTGAAAAAGTTATTTCAAGTCATTTTTCAGGTGGCCCAACTTCTGTCAGTTCACTCTGTTTTCTGTCGGTTCCGGAAAAATAGCAAACCAGTACCTCTTTGAATAAATCACACGATGGACCGGCGGCCGCAGCTAAATCACTTCTCAGTTGTATCACTTTCTCCATGATGGGATCGAGCTGAGGATCCAAATTGAGACCTTCCTCGTCAAACTTCAAGACGTCTCGCAAGATCTGAATTCGAGTTTCGATATGACTAAAAAATTACCAGCAATTTACAAAATTTCAAACTTTGGACTATAGTTAGCACCGAATATTCGTGTTCGAATAATTTATTCGAAATATTCGACTATTCGAATATTCGAATAGTCGAATATTCAAGAATGTCCATTCATTCGATTATTCGAATAGTCGAATAAATGAAAAAGACCTATATTCGAATAATTCGTTCATTCGAAGATTTCGAAGAATGACTTATTCGAATATTCGTTCACTCGAGGAGTTTTAAAAAAAGGTTATTCGAATATTCGTTCATTCGAGTAGTTTTAAAGATAGTTATTCGAATATTCGAATATTCGAATATTGCATTCAAATATTCGAATAATATTCGAACATTTATTCGAAATTAGTCGAATATTCGATCAAGTTCGGTCATTCAAGTATTCGTTCATTCGAATTTTGGAATGTGCCAATATTCGAATATTCAAATTCGAATGAAATGAAAAACGAAATTCAAATAATATTCGTTCATTCGAAGAATTTTCGAAAATCAAATATTCGATATTCATTCGTTCGAAAAATTTTCGAAGATCAATTATTCGATATTCATTCATTCGAAAAAATTTTAAAAAATGATTATTCGATATTCGTTCATTCGGCGAAAATTTCTGTTCGTTACAACTATACTTTGGACTATAACTGGAAAGGTTCTACATGATTCCATGATATACAAAGTGACCTGTTTTTGAGAGCACATTGGCTGGTGTTGAAAAAATTCAGCCGCGAGATGAGGCAGCAGTGGAGCCATGCATCTTGCCAGATTGGTTCCAACCCTGCAATGCGTTCGTGATATGGAATTCAGCGAGGCATTGTAGCGAACCTATGTAGAGTATACTGTGCGGATACATGTTCGTTTGAGCCAACTTTCGAGCAATAGAGTCGATCACGGACAAGGCTCTGCAGGAGAAGAAGCTGCATAATTATCTAGATCAATGGCAATATGGCAATGATTACGATATAATGTGCACTGAGCGTTCGCTGTGCAAAGTGGAGAAGATCCAAAGCGATAGTACGGAAACGACAATTCTCGTAATTCTGTACACATCGGATTCCGAATAGGTGAGACTGGCGCAAAATCCACTAGAAATAAAACTTTAGATTTAGAAGTTCGGGACAACAAGTATACCTGGTCCAAAAGCGGTAGAGATGACGGTCGCTGGCCCTGATATCCAAAACAACCACCAAGCAAAAATCTAAGCGAGTTTCGGATGGCAGCAAGCTGGAATGGCAGTTTCGGATGACAGCAAGCAGAATTGAAGCTGATGCCGGATACAATTCGCTAATTCCGTAAACTACCTTCATCTCCAAATCCGCCAGAACCTTCTCGCCGATCTTAGACTCTCCCACGGTCTCACCAGCCGATAAAGCCACCCAGAGCCTGAGCCCATCCGCTCCCAAAGCTTTCTGTCGTAGCGACCCGTCGGTGATCTATGTATTCTACAACGTCAAAAAAGTCACAAAAAAACATTCTTGCCGATCAATACCCACCGTTTCCGGATCGACAACATTTCCCAATGATTTCGACATCTTTTTGTTATTGTCATCTACACAAAAACCATGAACATGTATCCGTTTGTAAGGGATTGAATCCTAAATTGAAATTAAGAAAAAAAGGGTTTGAGACCAAAAAAAATTTACCTGAGCAGCTACAGAGGTAAGAAGCATGGACTGGAACCAGCCACGAAACTGATCCACGCCTTCCAAAACGCTGTCAGTGGGTTTCTGATTGTCAAATTGAAATCTCAATATTTACGTAGAAAGCTACGTTTGTGAACTCACCGTAGTATCAGCATCCTCGTACATTTCCCTGGCACAGTGCCATGCAACACCGCTATCCATCCAAACATCCATTATGTCAGTGCCTTTTGATAATCCATCAGCTGTATCCAGCGACAAAGATTTGAGAACCTAGACCATAAGCATGCTCTGCGGGGGGAGGAGGGATGGAGGGGAGATAGTTACGTCAGTTTCTCGCTACTTACTTCTTCATTAGCTAAATCCTCAACCGAGCATGTCCACCAAACATCCGCACCCTTATCGGCTATCATATCAGCCACACGTTCTACCAGCGCCTTAGAAAGGTAAGCTCTTCCTGGAAAACTATCCTCGCATGAAAAACATCAATTTTAAGTAGATATACCATTTTCATCCACAAGAGCAGGTATAGGTGTTCCCCAGACTCGTTGACGGGATATGCACCAGCTTGGACGACTTGCTACCATGCGCTGAAGGGTCCCAGAGAGGTCTAAAAATGTTCCCGCTATAGGACTTCTACTCTAACTTCGCATTTGTTGAGCTACTGATTACAGGAAACTGCATGATGTTTAGAATTTTTCCAATTGTAAAAATTTTGCCACCAAGCGAGTTGGTTAAAAGTGAATTTCTATCACCCTTGGGCACCTCAAGGATGTGCAAACTGGCTTTTTTAACCCAAAGAATGCTGAATGCATGTGTCGTGGGCGTACAATAACCAGCAGCTTGAATAGGTGTTTCGAAGAGTCTCCTCTCATCCCAAACGCGACTGACAACAGGCCGTTCACACCTTATCTATTCGGCATCGTTTTCAAGCACAAAAGAATGGAATTTTCTTTTTTTGGCGCATCTTTCAGCTACTACATAAACAGAAAAACAACATTTCTGAAAGCTGTGTGGCAAAGTATGGAGTTAGCACATCCAAGAGGTCCAAAAACTACGAAAAACTTGTACTGCATAACAGTGGCAGTCCGAGGGGGGGGGGGGCGCCCCCCCCCCGAGAATGGGTCGCGAAATTTTTGAAACTTACCTATATGGATTATATTAGGTTGGCTAATAAATAAGTTCGTTTTGACATGCAAATTCGAAGCTTCATAACAATTCACGTAACAGCTATTCAGCTAAGATGTTTTCGTGAGAAGATAGCCTCAACCCTTACTCTTAAATATTAGATAGTCAACATTTTTTTATTACCAAAAACTGACAGTTATAACCTTATATGGTCAGAGTTTTAAAAAATCGCTTTCTTGATTTTCTAGCTTTCGTTCTCAGCCTGCAGTGAGTACACAGGCGAGAGATTTGGTGGCTGGATACATACAGCCTCTGGCTAGGAGGCGAACCACAATAAAGACTGTGACCTGCTGTCTCTGAATTTCTGCAATTAGAATTGTGAAAATTTCCAGGCATTTGCGAGTAAAGGTCAAATTTTGGGCATTTCAGATAACTCGAGTTTGGCCATTTATGGCCATGCAAATGGTTGGAAATTTAAAAATATGTTGTGTGGGTAGCGAATTTACACTTTACACCTGATTTCAATTCGTTTTTCGGAGCGTGATTTTTCGAAATTTCGAGGAAAAAATTTGACTAATTTTCTTTCCTTCACCATTTCATTATCAGAAAAACCATTTTTGAGAAAACACGGTTATCCATCCGATTCTCCTTGATTTGCTCTTTCTGGTGGTATCATACATACACACAAAAACAAATTTGTGACAATTCTACAAACCGCTAAAAACGACCGAACTTATTTTTTAGCCAACCTAATAAAAATGTGCAAACGACTTGTTTATTTTTGTAAATAATTAAAATAATTTTTAAAATTTTTTAAAAATTCAAATCAGCCTTATAAAAAAATTTTTTCGGAGCGTGGCTGACGCCACGCCCCCTTTTTTTAGATTTTAGGGGTTGGGGACCCGCAAAAATTTTGAGAAGTACTCCTAAAAATTTTTCGGAGTGCGTGGCTAAAGCCACGCACCTTCATTTGAAAAAAATTTTTTCCGTCCCCCCCCCGGTCCGAAATCCTGGGACCGCCACTGCTGCATAATTATAGAGGCGCAAAACCAGCTCGATGATAAAAATACCAAGGCCTTTACCCGACCCATCAGTGCCAATCTTGACTCCTTCTAGTAATTCTGCAGCTCTCTTGCTAATCGTAGCCACATCCAAAAACCACTGTGCACTACTGCGAATTATGACAGGCTTGAAAGGTTAGTTGTGTTCACTGAAATTTTGCGAGCTAAAAGGCGAATACCTTCTTAGTTCGCCAGTCGTAAGGGTACGAATGTTTATATTTGCCTTCATGCACGACATCCTTCTTGAGCAGGCTAAAACGGCGTTTTCTCGCAGTCGCAAACAATTGATAATTGCAAAATTTGAATTCAGTAGGAATTACCTGATAGCTTCTCGCTGCCCTTCACCGAGAACATCCTTACCCTCGAGTTTATAACCCATATGTCTCGTATAGCGACCTTCTTCATCGACAAAACTCTCAATTTTGTATTTTCCAGCTAAGCCAATCTATAATTCGAATTAGAATTCGTCGAAATACTTCAACCAGTCATAGTAAACACCATCTCCAAGATAGTAAGACGAACCTCGTAATCGGTGAATCCATGTGCAAAAGAAGTGTGGACAAGCCCTGTGCCCATCGTCATTGTAACATGTTCTCCAGAAAGGATAGGCAGAGAAAGCTCAGGGTGCCTAAAAAAACTTCAATTGGCTGGAGAACACAGCAAAGCGACGTTCGCGATAGGTGAGAGAAATGTAAGAGATGAAATGTGAAAATAAGAAACGAGCAACATACCAACAACTCTTGTAATGCCTTCCCAGCAGTGCTTCTCCTCGAAAACTACCGACGACTGTAGCTTGCCGTCCTGTGGTTTCTATCAATGAATTAAGCAGCGGCTCAGCAATTAGGTAGACTTCAGAAACTGGCGCTCTGAAAATTAATAAACGAGAATCAAAAGAAAACAGAAAGCATAACATACTTAGAGGTATCATCAAAGCTGAAAGCCAAATATTTCTCTTTGGAAGAAACACAGATGGCATTGTTCAAAGGAAGAGTCCACGGGGTCGACGTCCATGCCTTCAATTATTGTTCAGATAGTAGTAAAAGACGAAAAAAAGCTAAACTGACCAATGCATAGATAATTAACGGCTTCGTTGATGCACGATTGAGCCCGATAATTTCGGGATCGACATCAATCATCTCAAACAATAATATTGAATCAGTACAAAAAAAAAATCAAGGATGAAAACTTACTCTGAACCGAAAATATACCGAGGTGCTTGTATGCTTCTCGTTGTATTCCAACTCCGACTCGGCAAGGGCAGTGCGGGAACTTGGCGACCCAAATCAAAATAATTTCGGCACAAACAACAGCAGGTAGTAATTTCTACCAGTAAACGGGCTTGAAAGCACGGTAGATTATTCCCTTCTCAACCATTTTCGCAAAGAGTTGTAGCTGTTCCGAAACATAAAGAGGATCCATGGTAAGATAAGGATTTGACCAGTCGGCTGAGACACCCCATCTCCTAAAAACACAACCAAGCTGTTTCTTCTGATACCAGCGAAATTTTTTTAATGATAAAAACTGAAATTTGCTTTCAAAAAAGGCGTTTTAGAAAGGATTTCAAATGACCGGTGTCGCACCTGAAGGAGTTCATCTGTTTGCCAATGGCTTCTTTTGCAACTTGTCGAGCAAGAGCTCGGATCTCAAGCGATGATTTTCCCTGCAAGAGTGATGTAGTCAAGAATAACATGATCAGAGCTCGAAACGGAATGAACTCTCAGATAAGAAAGAAAAATGAGAGCTCTCAATCGGAAATGGGATGACTGATACTTAAAATTAACAGCTCTAGTCCATCGAAGGTAACATCACCTATGAGCATGATAGAAAAGCTGCATGGAAATGTCTTGCTACTATTTTCCTATGCCTTTTTCACTGACCTGTACACTCTTGGTGATCTTCAGCTCTATGGGCAAGCCATGGCAGTCCCACCCAGGCCGGAATCGGACTCTAAGAGGGTAAAATGACGACGGAAGTTAGCCCTTAATTTCTAGACATACCTGTAGCCTAAAGCAATCCGGCTTTTAACTATGAAATCTTTGAGAATTTTGTTGATCGCATGTCCAGTATGTGCGACTCCATTAGCATAGGGAGGTCCATCAAGAAGTTCAAAGCTGGAAAATTATGATAACAATGCAGATAAAAAGTATATATCAAAATTAAGCCGAGAAATGTCCGAAAAAAAGTCATCCTGATATTATTTGGGAACAATATTCTGATAGAATGTGTACTGTATTTCCTGCTCACTGACATGTTAGCTCTTTTTGTGTAGGTCACGATAAGCTTACGTTTGCGTCCTATCGTGCTGTTCGCGTTGCCATTCGTACAGTGTGGTCAGGCCACCATTTATGGCCAATTGTTGGTCAAGGCTGGCACGTTCAGAAGACTTAATATGATTTACAAATGAAGTTTGAGGTAGAAATATGGTCTTCTTCTTTTTGGAGGTAGTAGCGATTGACGAAGAAGGCTTGCTCGCGGGATTAGATGAGTATACCCTAAATCTAAGTTCTATACGCAAAGGTTTTCGCGACTGAGTCAACGAAAACTACCTAAAGATGTTTTTCGAGTTGCTGCATAGCCATTGCAATATCTTCAACTGTGAGGCCATCAAAACCTTAAGAATGCCTTTGAGATTTGTACATAAAAGCTAGCTAGCAATTTTGTTGGGCTCCTTCAACGTGACCCCTCCCCCAAAAGAAACACCCAAACCTACCAATCGAGACAATCAAACGCTTTCGCCGGCCTAATGATGCCAGATACAGCACAAGCCGTCGGATGAACAAGTCCGCGTTTGCCTGCGAACAACACCAAGCAAAAACAGAATATTAGTATATCTATTTGAAGGAGCAGTACCTCGTCACCTCCGAGCAGCAGCTTAGTATCGTATTCAACTCGTTGTTGCGTAGATAACGCTTCTGTGATGATTGCTTCAGGAAATATTACTTCAATAACTTGTCCTATCCTTCCGAGAGATGAGAACACCTCAAAAATATATCAACATCACACTTGCTCAAACAATTTTTCTCCAAAGTTTGGTGCAAGTATAAACTATCAAGCAACACAGTTTCTGCAAACATCTGTTAATGTCACTATGATGACCGCTGAATTCCCAAAAAATGATCAGCAGTGTGGTAACGAGGTGATCATAGCATTGCCACTCACCACCAGATCCACGTTTCCGTGTTGAGTTATTGAAAAATGAGTGTGCTGTCCGTTAAAGTCGTATGACAGGTCCCGGTAGATGAGACCGGGCATTAATATTTCTTGAAAAGAAAAGCCTTTTCGATTATCACTCAATCACTACCTCAATGAAAGCATTTGAAGGGATCAGTTTTTGAATATCTCAACCCTTATAGCGTTTCAAGATATTTTCAACATCTTTATTATGACATGAAGTAAAAAAATAAAGCAAGTAGACCACAACAGGGACAATATCTAATCATCAAGATCAAACTTCGGCAAGGCTTTAACGTGACGTCTCTGACGATCAACTTCACGTTCGAGCTCCTCTCTGCAAATAAATAGTTTGAATGCATAGAATGCTCAAAAAAATTAGATTATAGAGTTTGAAAAATACTTCAAAATAGATGGGTTTGAGATATAATCAAAAAATAAGTTTCAACAGCAGCTACAACTATCCGGATAGTTCTACAGACGTATTCACCTTTTCTTTCTGCCCTCAGCCGGTGTGATCATATGCCCTTCTCCAGTCTCTTCATCTACCGTCCAAAACAACCAATCATTCAACATTACACCAAATGTCTTCCATCCGACGAAAAACATAACAAAAGTTACGATAAGCCGACGATTAGTCCACTGTAAGTACATAAGTGTATAAATAACATACAGGGGCACTATAAAAGCGCCACAAAACCTCACCTGTTGATAAGTAAGCTTTGTCCGAGGGACAGAGTTACGGATGAATTGCCTAACAATACGTCTCCACTCCCAGAATAACATGAGTAGAGTAGGTATAACAACGCTAACAAAATTTCGCAAATTTCTCTTAACAATCTAATACACTCAACAAATGCCTATAACAATGAGATACTAGTAACAACTGATGAAACTGAATAACCGCAGAAAAATCTCAACTCTCAAACTATCAATTCAATAGACAGTCTTGGCTTGTTGCGTTGGTAGCAGACCAAAACGCTTCTTGATGATCACACGGTATTTACTGTACTTGTCTTCGGGTGAGAAACGTGCTGGATGGGCAGAGAGCGTTTCTTTACCGTTAGGATCAGTCTTCTGGAAAATGAGTGTCATTAATTGACTTCACGTTAAGCTGCGCACTTTGACAATTTAAAGTTGACTATCCGCCAGCCCCTTGGTCATGTATTTAAACTTGAATTTTTCGGATACACTGATGCACAGTGAGCCGCGGAATGGCCACTTTCGACAAAAGTTAAAAAGCTTATATTCTGCCTCTCGCTATTATATTATAACAGCACTAACTCTCACTTCACACAGGAATTTGTTAAGAAAAAGGATGAGACAAGCGACAAAAATACGGCTTTACCTCTGGCTAACCCGCAACAATAAAAAAGGAATATTTCCTGATTGTTGACGATTTTTCAATGTATGTACCAACGTATTTCATCAGAAAATCATTACAATTTCGACATGACTGAGCGCTTTCAGAAAGAAGATTTACAAGGCATAACAAATTCAAATTCCCTTTCCTAGGTACTCATGCGCCTTCCCGACATCCCACAAGCTTCCTTGCTCATGATCCTTATCCCTACGCCTCTCCGAGCTCGATGGATGAGACAATGAAGAGCTATTATATTGGAAGCCCACCTTGAGTGTGTAAACACGTCTGCCGTCCTCGCCCAGGTAATATCTCAAAAACATTCCAAAGCCGAAATCTAGAATAACTTTGGTAGTCTTGATCCATTTTTGCTTATGCTTGTAGTAAATGGTCAGCAACCGAAGAAGAAAAACTAGACAGAAGCTTCAAGTGTTTCATTGTTGTGTTAAACAACATGTTTCAACATAACAAAGCGATTCTGAGATATAAAACAAAGCATTTCTCAATCTATCTGGATTCACTGTAACCTAATGTACACACTATATTTCCTAGGATCGAATGAAGAGATGTTAGGAAAGGGTGAATTCTGGGTGCAATGATCATTAGTATAAAAGATGAAGCGGACAAAGCCAGACCTCACAACCATCCTAGATATGATATGGATGTAGGTTGAACCTCGAACAAAATATCACAATGATGGGGTATTCCGTATGCAGAGGCTTTCGCTAACAGTAAGAAGGATACAAAATGTACAGCAATTGTCATCTAGCAATGCATAAAACAAAACAAAATGTTCTCTAAAACTGCAGATAAAATACTCAGATTCCTGGGAGATGCTACATAGTGTAACAAAATAACAGCTTTCTTTAAAGTGGACCCATGCCAACAGTGTGGAAAACGTAATCCCACAGCGATGTAGAGATTCCAAATCCTGTAAGATTAACTTTCTTTTTGAATTTCTTAAGGAGCCGGGCATATACCACGCAATTTCATCGCCTCGAGATTCTCTCGACACAACTGTTACGAGTCCGCTGCCGAACATCTTGCATCGCGGTTGCGATGGTTAGTCGCGACCAGTGTGTCGGAAACTATCACAACCGAAATGCAAGACGATAGGCAGGAATGAACTCGTAACAGTTGTCTTGTTGGGAGAACCGCGAGGCAATCAAATCGCTGAACTATGCTCGACCTAATAGACTGAACTTCAACAGGCACTCACCGACGTCGAAGTCCTTGAAATGGTGATTATGGTGGTATACCTTCCTGAAGTGCAGATTAGTCATAGGGCGTGGAGACCCGTGGTGCAGGTAGTAGTGGATCATATCGTAGCCAACGTAACCAAACAACTTTCCACTGCCGAAAGCGCAGAATATATGCCTGAAGAAATATAGCTATAACACGAAAAAACAATCAACACTAAAATTTCACAAACCAGGGTAACATGTTCGAATAGATCGCATAGAAGAACAGCACAATTATCAATGCAGGCACTGGAGGAAAAACAAGTCGGTCACCGTCCATCGGTGTTTTGTGATGTAAACCTAGAAGTCCAAGCTTTGTGTGAGCGAGCACAACTCAGACAAAGGTGCTACTCACCATGCAGAAGAAAGTGGAGAACGATCTGAGATGGTGATTCTGGGTTGGGTTGCCAGTGGAACACCCATCGATGAAGACAGTATTCTACGAGCGTCCAGACTACCACACCCACAACAAAGCATATTCCCCAGACGAGCGCGCCGCTCACTAGACCTGAAACAAACTACTTTTGAAAAGACATTGCATGGACAGAACATCAGACTACATCTTGCGAGCCACAAAGGAACCTCAGACGCCCAAAAATTCAAGCATAGCATAATTTTCCGTGATACAGCTATAGTGTTGTGCAACCACACACAAAATTTGGCAAATGTAAACTTCATCTCATTTGTGGATCCTTGATAACCGCATCTCAAATTTCAAGGTACTACGTCCAGAATTATCTAAATAATGAATTATAGAGCTGTTTTGAAAAGTACTCATTCACTTCAAAATTCAAGTATTGAGTAGCAGCAATCCAAGCGAGCGCCTGTATTGAAATGACTATACTTTTATAAACAATTCTAGAATGACATTATTGTCTCACTACTGATAAGCTCTACTTGATTAGCTGTGACACCAGTGGCTTGGCTTCTCTCTATGCTCCTTACTATCTCATACCTTCTACTTGTGCTGAGTTAAATTATGCTTCACAACTGTTAAAAAATGTCAGTGCATCTCCATTTTGGCAGATGGCTGAGGGAACGGCCATAGGTTGTCGGTGTTGTCGGTATTGTCGGTGTTGTCGGGGTTGCCGGTTGTTGTAGGACCTCATGATAGCCTAGACGTTTCACGCCCTCTAAACTCTCTCTGACCCCGACAACTCCGACAACACCGACAACATCGACAACCTATGGCCGTTCCCTGAGCGACTTTCTGCGACAAACCCATGCAATATCCTCAACTCAAATCGTTGAGACTTTAGAAAGTACAAGGCTTCGCACGTTTACCACGTCTAGAAGTGACAACACAGCTACGAAGCTAAGGTTTTCAGAATTATCCTCTAACTACTCAGCATCAGTAGCCGCATGGCACTGCCGCGTCTTCAACTGGGAGAGACCGTGTTTTACAAAAAGAACAAAAAAAGTGTCCATAGCCAAGACCTTGTATCTGGACAAACTGCTTGAGGTAAGAATTCAAATACTAACCCCAGCGGCTGTACATGTCCGACAAGGCGAATAAACTGAATAGCGCCACAATAGGAAGCCACACGGATGGTACGACCCACCAAGATGTGCGAGTAAGAGATTCGAGAAGGTTAGAATCAAAGAGCCTGAACAACATGAACTAACCGGACGAGAAGACCAACGAGCAGATAGTTTTACCTCAAAGTCCCTTCGTACGGTTGGTGTATCCACATCCAATAGTCATGGCCAAGATGTCCTACTCTTCCTAGCACACCTTTTTTGGAATCCAATGTAGGGTCATTCTTAAATTCTATAAACTAAGCTTTCTCAAACAAGTTAACCTTATCATACCTTTTGAAAATTCTCCACATCGTACTTTTCCATCATCTGGTAAGCCGCCTGCGAATGTTCGTGCTTCACTCCAAGAATACGCCGTTCCCCACGCATCCATGGACCTACATCTTCACCAGCTAACTTCCTCAGAACCTCAAAATTTTGGATAAAGTTCGGGTGCCGTAACAAAGAAAGTTGAGTATAAAATCTATTCACTTTCTCTCCACCGGGGTGTTTCGCTACAAACAGTGCGACATCATAAACGTGCCCATTTAGGAGCAGAAGCAATGGTCTAGTGGGCTCATTCTCATTCGCGTCCTTTTCCAGCCCCATGACAAACGGCTACCTGAAAGGGTTGGCAATACGATAGACGAAACCGCAGTATGTGCATAACAGGAGGACATAGCGAACAAAATATACAGACTGACGACCTCGAAGATATACAAGTGTTCAGTGACTTTGTACACCTCACTGAAGATGAAATGACAGACAATCGGTCACATAGCCTGGTGCAATCGGCTTGCTGGAACAGAAGACAAACGGTTTCTAAGCTCTTATGATATGTCTTACATTATTACTGCACAGCAATCATGCAGTAATAATGTAAAGTCCTCACAGTAGCTTGAAAAAAGTGCCCTCATGCTTCATCTGCATGTTTGCACAAAGCTCCTCGACCGATTTCCTGCCGATCAGCTTCTGCAAGCAAGAGCTAAACAAAAAGCATAGCATAGCCGTTGGTCCACCTTACTGTTTTTCAAACATCTAAAGAATCACAAAGAAATCATAATCTCCGCACTCTGCGGCACAGTATACATCTATCATGTCACCTGTTTCCGTTGGTGACACCTAAGGCAGATGACAAATTAGATGGTAACCCATAGTAAAAGACTGGTATCATACTTCTATTCAAACCCTAGCGTTCTCGTTTTTCGAGAGGCTTTATAAGGTGAGTTCTAAAATCCCATCACTTTCTAAACAAGCATCCTAAAAAACGCATAATGGAGCAATGGTACCAATGAAGTCTGACATCGACAAGGTAAGTTCGATAGTTAGCATCTCTTCACAAACACTACAGTTTTCGGCACATTGCCTTTGAAAGTTTATGGTAGTACCCTCAAAGGATGACAGGGCACATGGTCAAATGTTGCAGAACAACAAATGAAGTTTGAAAATCTATGAAAACCTCATTGGTATGTTTAACTAGTTCACCTCAAACATCCCATGATAGTGAGTATCTTGGAATCTTGCAACATATATGACTGAATACTCTACAATTTGCCCAAATCGCGTCCGCAACTGCTCCCTCTCGCAAAAAAAAAGGACTAAAAAACTGCAATGAAAAACAACCTGTGGTGCTCATTGTGACTTCGCTCGTGTATGGATAATAGCGAAAGTCGACTATGACGTCCCATTCAAGGCCGCAGAGGACAGACATGTTTTTCTGATAATTTCACTAGCAAAGTACGTGACGACATCCATCTGCGTCAATCGCAACATTTATCTACTACTCTGGCACAGGTACGCCTATTCTATAGACGTAAGCTTACGTGGCTCAGTAGGTTGCTATGTATCAGAAATGTTTCCCTAAAGATCTTGTGAACAAACTACGATAAAGCCAGAACAAAATGAAGGTCAGATGTAAAACAATCTCGAAGAAAGACAAGTAGCTCCCTCATTGATATAAGCAAAAACGCCAGCAGATCTCTAAAAAGCTACACGCTATTTGCACTTTAGCGATGCGACGCCCAAAAGAAAAAGCAAAAGAGAAAAAGACGGAGTTCTTTGTGTCCAGTGGCTGTGATCAAAAAGTATGATACCTCAAAGAGTGCTGCTGTTTTGATGAGTCAAAGTCATTTCACATCAAGAACTTCAACTAATGATAAGATCAACTCCTAACCCCACAATGGCTTGAAGGTAATGCCCCATCTAGAGCTATATTCCAAATTTGTATAATCTAGGGTATGTAGAGAGGTCTACAAATGCATCAGAACTTGATATCATGCATGGCTGATAATAAGCTGTACGTTGTGAAGCACTCTGACGCGCGAAAGCAAAAAACTGTGAAGCACATTCGATTAAAAAAAATAATCTACAAACTCAATAAGGGGTACCATAACTGACTATGACTAATCGGAATGCATTTACTAAATCAAAAACCAAACTTCCATAAAAAATTAAAAGTTAAAACGTAACGACAACTTTTGTTAGAAAAACACAACTAACGCTGATACTCATGCGTGATGCTTCCTCGGTAAAACTGGTAGCGTGACGAGAAAAAACTCCAACTTCAACTTGCATTTGCAGCAAAAAAGCGCGATTGGCAACACGCCAAGTGGATTAAAAGCGCCGCCCGAATTGGCCCGCGGTCAGCTTTTCGCGTTATTTCGCGCTTTCATCTAGGTGGCACATTGTTTGTTCAGATTTTCCCTGGCCATTTTTAATGGAAACTCCAAAAAAACTATGCTTTAGAGCGCATAAAGTGGTCGATGATGTCCCAGATCAAAATCTGTGTCAAAGTGCAAAGAATTTGCATTCGCCAACAGCCTTTGCATCTAATTGAAACGTTGGTTTTTGCACTGTTTGGACATTGGCACATAAACCGTCTAGAGAAAGATAGTAAGGAACTAAGGTTTTTGTTGCGGGACATTGCTCAACTTTTGAATTTCGTTGCAGACACTCCACAATTGTCGTAGCCGACGCTACCGCCCGTGTTTAACAGAAGCACGTATATCAAAAATCCACTGAACTCAGCACAACAATGTGTATCACCAGCGCGATGTCTGCGTGCCACCTGCTACAGTCTGTTTCAAACGGATATAGGACGAAGTCTTTCTAGAGCAGAGCATCCCCTCGTTGCAGGCTTTCCGTTAAAGGCGATGCGGCACAGTGCATTTTGTCACTTGAAGATCGGAGAGGATAGAGACGCAGACATGGTCCTAATACGGTTAATGCACTATAGTCACGATAGCACGCGGACTGTTGCGAGGCGGACTCCGACTGTTCCTATTTCGGCCTAATTTGGGTTGATGCAAAGAGCATAGGTCACCTATAAAATCGTGATGACTGCGATTTTTGCGCCTATAGGGCATAAAACACTCATACAAAAAGGCATCACCTCAGCCTTCAGCTCAATGTCTAGATACTATCATACGTAAGCAGAAAAACCATTAAAGTAGAGATGGGAACCAAGAAAACAGTGCTGTCGGAAGTGTGTGCTTGTCGCGCGCGGTCGCGCATCGTCACGATTTTTCGAATGCCCCATGTAGTTTTTGAGCTACGACTTGAAGGCTTTAGACAACGGTAACGCATGCAATGTCAGCTTCTAGCAGCTATTTTAATACTTTGGTATAGGATGACGCTATAAACGGCCGGGCATACATCACGCGATTGCATAGCCTCGCGATTCTTTCAGCAAGACAACTGTGACCATTTCATTGCATGCCGATCATCTTGCATTTCGGTTGTGGTAGTTAGTCGCGATTGGTCGTGTCGGAAAACTATCACAATCGAAATGAAAGATGAGCAGCAAATGAACTGGTAACAATTATCCTGTTAAAGGCAGCGTCCAGGCAGATCTGGACCTATGGGGATTTTAGTGGAAAGTACTTTTGGGGCCCCAACTAAGGCACTGCCCAAGCGACAGCGCAGGCAGTGCTGTAACGGCTGAGATATTCCTCTCGAAACTGGACCCCCGATCGTATTCGCATGGATATGGCAGTTTCGCGCCAGGATCCACGCTTTGCACCATGAATCCATGCGAAACACGGTCGCAGGGTCCAGTTTCGAGGGGAATATCTCAGCCGTTAAAGCACTACCTGAGCTGCCGATTGGGCAGTGGCTTAGTTAAAGTCCCAAAATTACTATCCACGTGAGATCCCTATGTGTCCAGATTTGCCTGGACGCTGCCTTTAAAATCGCGAGGCGAAGAAATCGCGTGATGCATGTCCGGCATTTAACGCTGCTTCGCCCACAATCCAGCTCGTTTTTCATATAAAAGAGGGTTATGTGGGTAGAGAAACTGACACCTCAATTAGACACCGCCTCCATGGGCTGCTGGTCCTTTCAATCTACTGTTGTGCATCATGCTAGGACCAGTAGTCCGCGGAGGCGGAGCCTAACTGAGGTGTTCGTTCCTCTACCCGGCTATGCTGGCTTATATCGCTTTTATATAGTAGTATATATAATAACATATAGTTTGCATCTACGAGAAATAAGACAAGCACGAGGTGCCTGCTGTGTCATAAATAAAAACTCGGCAATAACTTCTCAACAATAGGATTCGGTGCATTCAGCGACTCAGAACTTGCTTATCCTCCGACCATAAAGTGCACCTGTGACAACGCAACATAGATAACATGTTTCTGCATGTTTACAAGATACATTTTTCAAAAGGATGATTCACATTTCACAACTGAATGGGGGAAAAAGAGCCCGAGAGTTGCAAAATCTGAATGATTTGAAGGGAGTTTCGCGAACAAATTGGAAAAAGAGCCTTGTAGCAGTGGCGGATCAAGGGGGAGGGGCGCCCGGTGAGCCGCAAGAAATCCGAAAGTTACTTGATGAGTCAGCTGCAGAAGTGAGCAAGTGACTTGTTAGGCTTGTAAGTCATTATAAGAATACTTCAAATGATTCAAATATTCAAATCAACCTTATGAAAAAATTTTTCGGAGGAGGTTTGTGGCTGCCGCTGGGTTAAGAACCCCTGAAAAATATGGAGAGCATCCCAAAAATCTTTCAAACCCTTCAGAGTTGTGGCTAACGCCACGCACCTTCAAAAAATTTGCTCCCACCTCCGGCAAAGGGGATATCGTTTTTGTGGGTCAAAAATTAGTTTTTAGTCGATTCAGATATTTCGGATAAGGGTTAAAGAGGATTTCGTAAAATTTTGCGGAAGTCAGGAGAGAGTTCGCTTTTTTGCATTTTCGGGAAGCCACCTCGTGCCGAGCCCTAAATTGAAAGAAAGACATTCGATATGGCTTTGCACAGTGATTAGCAAGTTAATACTTGTGCTTTACCTGACCTTGGATGACATTTAGGTAGTCAGAAAATGAGGATAACAAGTTCAAGCATGTTCAACAGTTGTGCGCGGTGTTCTCGAGTATCTGGTCTCAGGACAAATGACAAGCAAACAACGAAGTAACTTTCCATAAAACTTGCAAACGAGAAAAGAAAGTTTTCTAGATTTCATTGAGAAGTAGTTGCCTGGAAACGCAAATTGAATTGTATCCATGGCAGCCACAACACTGCATTTTTTGCAGCACTTTGTGCTGTGAATTTTTTTTGCCTAACTTGCTGCAGAATAAATGGGAACGAGCTACCTCAGGACTAAGTGCTAGGTTGCATGTATGTACTTGATTTTTGTCAGGAGTTAATATTCAATGAAAAATTAATTTATGCTGTGGCGATGTTTTGCTGAATAATTGGAAATGGTCTACATGAATTCTGACAAATATCTACGAGGGGGATGTAATTGACCGGAATTTGTATTTTTTCTTACATAGAGCCATATAGCCAAGCCTCCGAATTTGGGATGCTTCTCTAGTTTCTGGCGCGCTTAATTTGTGTCCCCAAAATTTAAATAGCTGATGTACTTCTGAAAATTTAATTTGATTTTATTGCAAAAGTTCAGAAGTGATTTCGATCATTAAGAAAAGTAAGCTGCAAAATTTTCATACACATGTATGCCCCAAAAAACCTTGCAGCCCTGGGTCTTTTGCTTTTCACCTGCATAAGATATAATCGCTTTCCCCTATCTTTCGTAGAAGTTTGTAAGAAATTTGGATTTGCGGGCCTCATTGTACATTCCAAAAGAACGATTTTGACGGCGGGGGCTACATTTTTTGTTTTTTTGTGCGTCTTACAAATGCTGATATGACATCTTCAAGATGTTTATCTGGACATTGGCCCAAGCCTTGCATGAACGATCAAAAAATGTCCAAAAGGTTTGTACTCAAGTCATACCTTTTTGGTTATCACGATGAGGTTCTATCTTGTGAGATAAACTCTATTCGGAAATGAAATCGAAGTACAGACGGGAAAAATCCTAAACTCGTAAAGAGTTTGCTCGGAAATCGTTTATATATATTTGGGAGGGCATCTGATAATACGAACCGATCCCCACATTTCTGTGAAAGGCTTCGCGGTTTCGCCTACTCAAGGCTAGAGATTGATCAGAAAGCACGCTCGTGAGAGAGACGCAGACTGCTTCGTTGGCGCAAGCGGTCACCTTCCAGCCGCCAATCCCGTTGGAGCCGTAAAACTACCTTCTAGCGTTTTAGTGAATAGAAAAACATCTGAGTTTCAGCTTGCGCTGTGATATGCCAAATATAATAATTTCCTTGAGCATTATTAGAAGCGCATAATTTATCGCTATCTTTTTGAAATAAGAATTCATTGAGAGTCGGGAAAAACAAGAATTTTCAGGAATTTTGATGCAAAAATGTGGGTCAAAAACAAATTCGAAACGCGACTTAGCTAAAGCGAGACTTGAATAATACATCGAAAATGAGTAATGTCATGTGATCCAAAGACTGAACGGCGCTACGGCATTGATAATTCGATCCAAATACGGATTGCTGACAACAATTCACCGATAGCAACGTTATCGCCATCAAATGCATTGAGGCGTAATTGCATTCAAATCCGCTTTTTTCGCTTCTCTATAGCCTGTGATATTATTTTGCAAAAACACATCAAAATGTAGTTGGCAAAAGCGAACAAACACATGTGCGAATAAAATCGTGAATGAAATCACATGCTATAACGAATGAAGTCAAAGAATTACAGTCACCTTCAGACTGAACTTTCTAGAAAACTTTGATTGTATCACTGCAATGCTATTCAATTGTTTGCGTGATTGTGGACTATAATTGACCAAAAAACGCTAGACCACAGTTCACGCGGAAAAATTATTTACGAAAAAAAAGTCAAACAGAAAAAGAAGCATCTATAACACTGCAAGAAGGAGCACAGTTCAATGGGGGCTATAGACTTTATAGGTCCACTTCCGCCTATCGAGTTTATGGCTTTTCCGGCATCTTAAATTTGGTTTGCCTTTCTTTTCCCATTTAATCAGATACTTTTTTGTGATTTAGCCAGCACCACAAGGTAAGAAATCCTATAACCTCCTAACAGTCGATTTGCTTGCCATTTCTCAAAGAGCTCAGAATGGCTCTCAAGACTTTACTGCACCATTCCATACAAATAATGCAGTATAAACACATTTTACGATTTACAGGAGCTCTAAATCGAGCTGTAAACTTTAGAGGACATTTCTCTACTCTGCTAGGCATTTGCTGCAC